TCCTCATCTTCCTCATCATCATTATAATTCTCATCATCCTCATCATCATCATTATAATTCTCATCATCCTCCTCCTCATCATCATTATAATTCTCATCATCTTCATCATCATCATCATCCTCATTATCATCATCATTATAATAATTCTCATCATCATCGTCGTCTTCATCATCACCATCACGTGACCAGGAAATGCCAGCCAGCAGGGAAGCTGTGATGTCGTGATGCTGCTACTGGATCGGGGCCTGGACGAGATGCACCGGGATAATTACGGATGGACCTCTCTCCACATCGCGGCCTACGAAGGGCACGAGAGGGTGAGTGGGAAGTTAAACTGGTTTTATTACTTCCGGGTAGCTAGATTAAAAAATTTTAAGTGTCCGGTTCTACAGCTCGCAGTGGCCAGGTTCGACTGCATTGTGATTCTTACCTTACTTTCATAAACTACATTGCACGACGTAGTTTTGTAATGATCGATCGATTTATTAATTGATTGATTGATTTGTTGGTTGGCTAGTTGATTGGTTGATTGATTGATTGGTCGACAATACAGGTAGTTCAAATCTTACTAGAAGCCGGTGCCCATGCAGACGAGCAAGACAACGAAGGCAGGACCCCTCTATACCTGGCCTGCCAGCAAGGAAACACCTCCGTCGTCACATCCCTACTTCAATCAGGGATGTGCTCTCTGGACGCACCTGCTCACGATCTTCGGACAGCTCTGATGGTGGCTGGGGCTTGTGGGAAGATGGAGGTATTCCGGATTCTGTTGGAAAGTGGGATGGTTGATCCTTGTAAGAAAGATGCGTTTGGAAGGAGTGTCTTGCATTGGGTGGCTCTGGAAAATGGTGAATCTGTTTGTCTGCCTGTCTGTCTGTCTGTCTGTCTATGTCTATCTGTTTGTTTATCAATGTCTGTTTTTATGTCTATCTGTTTGTCTGTCTAAGTCGGTTTGTCTAGTTTTTTGTTTGTTTAATTTTTTATTAAATTTATATATTTTTGTTATGATTTTCAATTTTTCAAAATTTACATCTTGCTAAGTACGTTTTGATAAAAATTTTTTAACAAAATCTAGCTTTTATTTGTTTGTATTAATTATACAAATTACATTAAATCAATCAATCAATCCATTAATCAATCGATCAACCAATCAACCAACCAACCAACCAACAAATCAAGCAAGCAAACAATCAATCAATCAATCAATTAACCAACCAACCAACCAACCAACCAACCATCCAACCAACCATCCAACCAACCAACCAATCAACCAACCAACCAACCAACCAACCAACCAACCAACCAACCAACCAATCAATTAATTAACCAACCAACCAACCAACCAATCAATCAATCAACCAATCAATCAATCGATCCATATATTAGGATCGGACTTAGATTCGCTAAGCATGATTGAGTTACTTACTCGAAAGTTCCCTTCGTATGATGTCAACCAAGCTGACGACGAAGGTATAAAAAAACATTTTTTTTTGAAAAAAAAGCATAATAATGGTCATAATAATAATAATTAATATTAATATTATAATAATAATAAAATAAGTGAAATAAAGTAAAATGTTATTAAAATCCGCTTATAGTCATTGTCTATGCCAAGTGTATACGCGCTAGGTATTCGAATACCATTACACATTGTTTTTTTACGGTATAATAATAATAATAATAATAATAGTAATAATAATAATAGTAGTAGTAATACTAATAAAAATTCCAGGACAGTCAGTACTGCACTGTTGTGCTTGGCTTGGTAGGATGAAACTCATTGAAATGCTTGTTAAAGTCGGAGGTGATCCCAACTGCCAGGTTATTTGGCGGGATTTGATCAGGATTTTGATGGGATTTGATTAGGTTTTGGATGGGATTTGATCAGGATTTTGATGGGATTTGATCGAAATTTGTTTGGGATTTGAATGGTTTTTTTAAATCCAAGTTTGGCTGGGTTTAATTTGCCCTTACTTCGCATTATTACACCGTTTCTTTCATAATTTTCACATATTAAACCAAACACTTCACATATTTTACTCAACTTAAAATGAAATTTAGTCAGCTACACGTAAGAAGAAACTTTTTAAACCAACGCAGGACTTAGAACTAAGGACGCCACTGATCTTGGCAGCTTGGCAGGACAACGATGAAGTCGTGGAGTTACTTTTAAGGTTGGGCGCCAAACCGGGACTTCGATCGCGGGACGGTGCTTCGGCTCTAGCCGTCGCCCTGCAAGAGAACCACGAGAGTGTGGTCAGGGTTCTGCTTCGACACGGAAAGGTTAACTTAACCTCTGGGACCTCGGCTGGTGCACAGAGACAACAGTCAGGCAACGGCCTGGCGGGTACCGAAGTCAGGGATAACCAGAAAAATAAAATTTCAAACTTTGGCGGCGGTAAAATTCAGACGAGTGAATCGTCCGTAGAGGAGGTGACGTCATCAGAGGCGGCTAAAAATGCTAGTGACGGTGAGTTGAAGTTCAACAAACCGATGAATAAAGTGACGCAGCAGAGGAAGCAGCAGCAGCAGCAGCACAAGCAGAAAGTGCTGCAGAATCTTATTGATCCCAGTAGTTTGAAACATCGGAGTAGCTGTGGTAGCAGCGGTAACCAGACCAGCAAACATTACAACACGGCACACGATGAGATTAACAACAGTTCCAACTACCCCTCAACCGAAATCTACTCCGACGGTTCAAACCCTCGCTACCCCATAGGCGACCCCCAATCCAACACCCAGGGTGGGGGTGACAACAGCCACACGACGACCACTACCACAACTTCAGGAGTGTCCAGCATGGAGATGACGTTCTCTAATTCATTCGCCGCCTGCAACAGCAACCCTGGCAGCAACAGCGCTCTTGCAAAATCAGCCACCGGGCCACAATCCGACCTGGACGAGGGACTGGGTGGCAAGGGGCTGCCCAGCAAACTGGATAAAACCCTCGATGGTGAACTTCTAGCAGGAAGACTGGAAGCCGACAGTAGCGGCAGTAGTGGTGATGTTCGCAGCGGCATCAGCTCCAGGAACCAACAATTAAACGACCAACTGAACATTGTCGACGTCCATTCGGTCTGCCAGAAATCAGACGACGAATTGTTAGGCGCGAAACATCACGCAACTGCAA